GTGCGGCAGAGCGGGTGAGTGGTGCGGCAGAGCAGGTGAGTGGTGCGGCAGAGCGGGTGAGTGGTGCGGCAGAGCGGGTGAGTGGTGCGGCAGAGCGGGTGAGTGGTGCGGCAGAGCGGGTGAGTGGTGCGGCAGAGCGGGTGAGTGGTGCATAAGAGCGGGTGAGTGGTGCGGCAGAGCGGGTGAGTGGTGCGGCAGAGCGGGTGAGTGGTGCGGCAGAGCAGGTGAGTGGTGCGGCAGAGCGGGTGAGTGGTGCGGCAGAGCAGGTGAGTGGTGCGGCAGAGCGGGTGAGTGGTGCATAAGAGCAGGTGAGTGGTGCGGCAGAGCGGGTGAGTGGTGCGGCAGAGCAGGTGAGTGGTGCAGCAGAGCGGGTGAGTGGTGCAGCAGAGCAGGTGAGTGGTGCAGCAGAGCAGGTGAGTGGTGCGACAGAGCAGGTGAGTGGTGCAGCAGAGCAGGTGAGTGGTGCGACAGAGCAGGTGAGTGGTGCGACAGAGCAGGTGAGTGGTGCAGCAGAGCAGGTGAGTGGTGCAGCAGAGCAGGTGAGTGGTGCAGCAGAGGCAGGTGAGTGGTGCGGCAGAGCAGGTGAGTGGTGCAGCAGAGCAGGTGAGTGGTGCATAAGAGCAGGTGAGTGGTGCAGCAGAGCAGGTGAGTGGTGCAGCAGAGCAGGTGAGTGGTGCAGCAGAGCAGGTGAGTGGTGCATAAGAGCAGGTGAGTGGTGCAGCAGAGCAGGTGAGTGGTGCAGCAGAGCAGGTGAGTGGTGCAGCAGAGCAGGGCACGGGGTGTGTGGGTGCTGGACCTCGCTGCTGATAGCCTGGTGCTGGTGGTGGGGCGTGACGCCAGTAGCCCTGCTGTAGAGCACATGGGTGAGGTGACAGGGCATGGGGCGTGCCAGTGTGGTGGTCGAGGTGTGCCAGTAAAGAAAAATCTTCTACACCAACGAAGTAACCCAACGAAGGTGTAGACGACAAGCACGTCCGGAAAAAACCAGTCAAGATGGCTGAGGCTTACACAAGAAGGGATGCGACGACGAGTATGATATGAAAGAAGAATGCCCCAGAGCAGAAAGAAAACACCTTTAGATAAGATTTGAATGGAAACGGAGCCTTGAGAGGTGGATAAAACAAAAGTACCAGGCGGGCATTGAACCCCGCTGATCATCTATGACTGAATTTGTGCTACAGGTCCTGAGAGAAATTCGTTTTATCAGCATCATGTGTCGATTGTAAAAATCAGCCATTGAGCGTTTTTCTCGTTTGATCAGTAGCCACGGCCATACAATCGCACATGGGTCGCGGAAAGCGCGAGGCGGAGGGCAATCGGAGCGGTAATGGAGGTCGGGGGAAATCGAAGCGGCACAAGTCGCGATACCTGAACGCTGTGAGCCTTTAAACTTATGTCGCGACGCATTAGTCAACATAAACCGCCGGCAGGCGAGTACCAATGTTTTTCTTGGCTGACAGACGAATAACGACGATAATCAGCGACAATTCTGCAGGCGCGTTCAGTCGCGTTTCGGTCGCGAGTCGCGGCAGCATCCGTTGCGCGTCGCCGCTGCTATGATCTTGGCGGCGTCGCCGCTGTGATCTCCGCGGCGGCGTGCGCTCACCAGCCCGATCCGCTCCACTTCCCGCCCTTCCTCTTCAACCCTTCCCCCCCTTTCCTTTCGTGCCCTCTCCTCCCGCTCGCGCACACACCTCCGTCTTCCCTCCCCCCTTCTCTTCTCCTCCTCCCATCGTGTGCTCCCACGGCGCCGCCTCTCCCCTCTGGTCCTGAGATCGCCTTGATCACTTAGGTTTACACAGAGCAGATTTTTCCGCTGTCGCCTCTCCCCTCTGGTCCTGATATCGCTTTGAGCACTTGGTCTTACACAGAGCGGATTTTCCCGCCGTCGCCTCTCTCCTCTGGTCCTCACCCGTCCGGCCCGTGTCGCCCGCTGTCCCCCTTCCCCTCCCCCCACCCCTGCTGTCCCCCTTCCCTCCCCCCACCCCCGCCGTCTCTCTTCCCTCCACATCCCGGCCCACGAATCTCCGTTGCCATGCAACCAAAACCCGAAACTCTTGGTTGTTGCTCGCTCTCTCCCATGCACCCAAAACCCGAAACCCTTTGTTGTTGCTCGCTCTCTCCCATGCACCCAAAACCCCAACCTCGATCTCCTCTTCGAAGTGGCGGCGGGCAGCAGCAGGCAGGGAGCGAGAGTGGCAGGTGAAGGATCGATTGTTTCTTCCTTTGCTCCTTCACCCTAAACCCTATGATCCAGAATGGGGGGAAGGCGGCGCCCAGAATGTATGGCAGCAAGGGGGCTGGCAGGGGGAGGGATTGGAGGTGGTTTGCAACCGTTTCTTACTTCTGCTCCCCCCCCTTCTGCTCCTCTCCTCCTCTCCCTTCTGTGCCCCCACCTGCTGTTCCTCCTCACCCTTCTCCCCTCCCCATTTCTCCTCCTCCCCCTTCTCCTCCTCCCCATTCTTCTCCTCCCCCCTCTGCTCCTCCGTCTTCTGCTCCTCCCCCCTCTGCTCCTTCTGCTCCGCCCCTCCCCCTCGTGCCCCTCCCCTTCTGCTCCTCCCTCTCGTGCGCCTCAGAGTGGAGGGGGAGCGGGCCCCATCGCGAATGGCAACAGGGGGTGGCTGGTGTGGAGTGTGACCAGCAGGGAGAGAGAGTGCGGGCTTGTTGTTGTTGGAGTCGAAACAAAGTAAATTGTTCCTTTGATCCTCCTCCTTCCCTCTTCGGCGCCTCCCTCTCGTGCGCCTCAGAGTGGAGGGGGAGCGGGGCCCTATCGCGAATGGCAGCAGGGGGTGGCTGGTGTCGAGTGTGACCGGCAGGGAGAGAGAGTGCGGGGCGGGAGATTGTGAAGTGCTCGATGAGGTGAGGCACGAGCGACACAGTGAGGGAGAGGAAGGGGTGGGGGGGGGTGGTAAGAGGTGATCAGGAGATCAGCTTGTGAGGTGACATGCACAGGGGATCAGCTTGATGAGGTGAGGTGGCAAGGAGGTGAGTGGGGCGCACAGGCAAACGATAGAACCTGGAGGGTAGGTAGATAGATGACTGGGCAAGCACTGGGGAAAGTGGTTGCGGAGGGCCTATCTGACTGAGCTGTTTTTGCTTTTCTTCCTTCCATCTCCCCTGCTTGCCCCACACGCCGTTGTGCGGCGGCAAGCTGGTGCCCGTGAAGGCGCGGGCTGAGGGGGAGGCAAGCACTGGGGAAGGTGGCTGGGGAGGGCTTATCTGACTGAGCTGATGTTGCTTTCTCCTCTGTTCGCCCCACACACAGTGGTGTGACAAGCTGGAGGCAGCAAGGCGCAGAGGAACGGGTAGGGTGAGGCAAGCACTGGGGAAGGTGGCTGGGGAGGGCTTTTCTAACTGAGCTGATGTTGTTCCTACTCCTTCCATCTCCACTGCTTGCCCCACACACCGTTGAGCGACAATCTGGTGCCCATGAAGGTGCGGGCTGAGGGGGAGGCAAGCACTGGGGAAGGTGGCTGGGGAGGGCTTATCTGACTGAGATGATGTTGCTTTATCCCTGTTTGCCCCACACACAGTGGTGTGACAAGCTGGAGGCTGGCAAGGCGCAGGGGGGGGGAGGGGGAGGCACGGACTGGGGAAGGTGCATCTGCAGGGAAGGCGAAGGGGGGTTCGTCCATCGATGCGCTGCTGGCGAATGAAGTGGCAGCACTCAAGAAACAGGTGCGTGCGTGTGGAGAGGGGGTTGAGGAAACAGGTGTGTGTGTTTTGCAGCGGCTCACAGGTGCGTGGGATGGGTAGGTGGGTGCCTTTTCCCTCCTTTCCCCTTGTTGTTCCTTCACCCTCCCCTTATCTCCCTCCCACTCCCTCCCCTCGTATCCCTCCCTCTCCCTGTGTCCCCCAGGCTCGATTGCAATCGTGACCTCAGGCTACCAGGTGCCCCTGTTTTGAGACGTCTCAGGCTACCAGGTGCCCCTGTTTTGAGACGTCTCAGGCTACCAGGTGCCCCTGTTTTGAGACGTCTCAGGCTACCAGGTGCCCTGTTTTGAGACGTCTCAGGCTACCAGGTGCCCCTGTTTTGTTCCCCTTGTGCATCCTCGCCTCCTTGTTCCCTCCTTTCTCTTCTCCCTCCCTTCCTTGTGCATGGCCCTCAGCCTCGGTTCATGAGTGTGTAGTCTGGGTGCAAGGCGCTGCTGTTCGCATAAATGCCCAGCACAAACACCCATCACTTCCCTCTCTCGCAATCCTCTTTTCCCTCCCTCTCCTCCCCTTGCCCCTCGTCTTGTCCCTCCCCTTGTCCTGAACGCTCTCACCTGGTGACTTTTGAGTCGACTCAAAAGTCACCTGACTGAACGCTCTCACCTGGTCTCACTTCGGGGTGTGGAGTCTCGCTGGCTGCAAGGCGCTGCTGTTTGGACTCTTGCTGGCTGCAAGGCGCCGCTGTTTGCGAGAATGCTAAGTGGAAACCCTTATCGCTCCTCCTCTCTCTCCCATCGTCTTTCTCCCTCCCCTTGCCCCTACCGTTTGCCCTCCCCTCGCCCCTCCTGTTCGCCCGCCCCTTGACATCCCTCAGCCTCGGTTTGTGAGTGTGGAGTCTGGGTGCAGGCACTGCTGTTTGAGAAAAAACGTTTTTTTTTTTTCCTTTGTCCCTCGCCTTGTCCCTCCCCTTCCTCTCAGCCTCGGTTGTGAGTGTGGAGTCTAGGTGCAAGGCGCCGCTGTTTCTGAGGATCCATCATCACCCCTCCCTCTCCCTCTCACTCCCCTTTCTCTGCTCGTCTTTCTCCCTCCCCTTGCCCCTGCTGTTCGCCCTCCCCTCGACATCCCACAGCCTTGGTTCGCGAGTGTGGACTCTGGGTGCAAGGCGCTGCTGTTCGTGAGAATGCTCAGTGCAATTTCCAATCACGTCTCCTCTCCCTCCGCTCGTCTTTCTCCCTCCACTCGTCTTTCTCCCTCCCCTTGCCCCTACATTCGCCCGCCCCTTGACGTCCCTCAGCCTCGGTTCGTGAGTGTGGAGTCTGGGTGCAAGGCACTGCTGTTCGTGAGGATTAGAGAGGATGCCAGGAAGGGGGGGAAGGGAGAAAGGGAGGAAAGCAGTTGGAGGAGGGGAGGAGAAGGAGGAGGAGGGTGAGAAGGAGGAGGTGGGGAAGACGGAGGAAGGGGAAAAGGAGGAGGAGAAGGGTGAGGAGACAAGGAGGGGAAGGAGGGGATAAGGCCGGGAAAAGGAGCAGGAGAAAGAGCAGGAGGAAGAGGTTACAGGGAGGAGAGAGAAGGAACCGGAGAAGGAGGACAGGGAGGGGAGGGGGAGAGGGGGGAGGCAGGGGGAGAGCAGGGAAGGGTGTCGCCGTGTGAGTTGGCAGAGGCGGTGCTGCGGCATGCCTGAGGCCACCCAGGCAGGCAGCCATGGGTGGGTGGGGTAGTGGGTGTGGGGCAGTGGGTGTGGGGCAGTGGGTGTGGGCAGTGGGGTGGGGCAGTGGGGCAGGGGCAGAGGGGTTTGTGTTTAGGATCCTGAGGTGGGGCAGGCAGGGCAGAGGGGTTTGGGTGAGGATCCTGAGGTGGGGCAGGCAGGGCAGAGGGGTTTGGGTTTAGGATCCTGAGGTGGGGCAGGCAGGGCAGAGGGGCTAGGGGTTAGCGTCCAAGTAGTGGGGCAGGCAGGACAGAGGGGTTTGGGTGAGGATCCTGAGGTGGGCAGGCAGGGCAGAGGGGTTTGGGTTTAGGGTCCTGAGGTGGGGCAGGCAGGCAGAGGGGTTTGGGTGAGGATCCTGAGGTGGGCAGGCAGGGCAGAGGGTGTTTGGGTTTAGCGGATCCTGAGGTGGGGTTTGAGGCAGGCAGGTCAGAGGGGTTTGGTGTTTAGGATCCTGAGGTGGGGCAGGCAGGGCAGAGGGGTTTGGGTGAGGATCTGAGGTGGGGCAGGCAGGGCATGAGGTGTTTGAAGTGAGGATCCTGAGGTGGGCAGCAGGGCAGAGGGGGTATTGATGGTGAGGATCCTGAAGGTTAGGGGCAGCTGGGCAGAGGGGTTGGGGTTTAGGATCCTGAGGTGGGGCAGAGGCAGGAGCAGAGGGGTTGGGTGCGGATCCTGAGGTGGGGCAGGCCAGGGCAGAGGGTTTGGGTGAGGATCCTGAGGTGGGGCAGGCAGGGCAGAGGGGTTTGGGTTTAGGATCCTGAGGTGGGCAGGCAGGGCAGATGGGTTTGAGGTGGAGGGATCCTGAGGTGGGGCATGCAGGGCAGAGGTGAGTGTTTGGGTGAGGATCCTGAGGTGGGGCAGGCAGGGCAGAAGAGTTTGGGTTTACGATCCTGAGGGTGGGGCAGGCAGGGCAGAGGGGTTTGGGCGAGGAACCTGCGGTGGGAATGCAGGGCAGACGGGTTTGTGACCATGACATGATGGGGCCAGGTTTAGGAAATAAAAGTGCTATCTGAAAAGACAAAGGGAATGAGCAACGCGACGAAACCAACGTAGTTGCAGCGGGATAGCTGATTGTCAAGACTCACTCGGTTTGTATTTTCGCCACAACCTCCACTTCCTCTTCGTGCTCAGCTTGATCTGCGATGCACGCAGTCCCTCCACCTTCACTCCAAACTTCTCGAGCACACCGCGCTTGACTTGAAATCCCCGTTCATTCTTCCATGCTGTCCACACACGTTTAAAGACGGCAACGACGTTCTGATCCTTCATTGTCTCTTTCAGCTGCATGTAAGAAATGATGTGGGTCTCACTGATGACGCCATACAGACCTGTAGTCGCTGGTCAAATGATGGGTACCAGTCAACCGCATGGTCCGGCGCTTCCATGCACATCCGGTCCCGCGCCTCAACAAAATGAAGCTACAATGGACGGGATGGTAGGGCAAGAAGAAATCAGTGTCGAGGGGCAAGCATATCAAATGTGGGCAGGCAGAGGGGGTTATAATTAAAAACCATGACAATGTGGGGCTGGCAAGGGGGTTACGAATGAGCAAGAACAGACGTAGTGCAGGCAGAGGGGGTTTGGAACGACATGCTGGACAATGTGGGGCTAGCAAGGGGGGTTAACATGAGCATGAATAGCAAGATGCTAGCAGGGGGTTACGAATGAGCATGAAAGCAACGCAGAGTGCCCCTCACACTCACCCTCAGTTTCTCGAGAGTGGGCATTCCATGCCTGCGCCGAATGGGCTGGCCCTCTGTCGGGGTGCTCTCATCAGCTACCTCGGGACTGAGGCCCCCAGATGATGGGTCGCTCGCCAAAGGTGCCAGAGGAGGAACTTGGGAAGGGGGTCCGCGGTTTTTGACGCCATTGCAAGCTGGTTTTGCCTTGAGGGTTGCTAGTTCGCTGTTTGCTAGCTCAAGCTCTCCGCGTGAGCTGCTCCACCGTCTTGGGGCGAGCCGGATTGAGACGACCAGATGCACCGGGCGTGCACATGCTCTCACCCCTCCCCTCGTTCGTGTGTGGATCCCTTTTCCAGGTGTAGTCGTCGCCCCTTTCGTCACGTTCATCGTACGGAGAGCCAGCCATAACTCCGCCACAATCACCCAATGTGTTTGCCCACATCCCACCTGCCACACCGTCGTTTGCTGCTGCGGCCGTTGGTCAGCGTACCGTTTGGGCTTAAAGTCGTCTTTATCAAGATCCGGTGAATCCCGTGTCTCGAGACGCTTCGCAAGTGGGTCTTTTCCCTCCTTGTTATGACGCCATGACCCTGTAGGCAACGGGTCTGCTCCTTTCCCAGCATTTAGTGATGGCCCTCTGAGAGCAGCATAAGGGTCCTCGCGATCGTCACGCCTCCTTCGGGTCTGGTCTTTACGATCAAGATATCCAGTAGGAGCAGCAGTTGCTTTCACTCCCATCTCCGCATAGAATTCAGGCTCGGGCTTCACTTTGGGGCGCACACGGACAACCTGGGAAACCACACGCCGGCGACCGTTGTTGCCATGCGATTTCCCACGACTGTCGCGCCCCTTACGGCCCTTGTCCCGACCCTTGTCACGGTTCCTCTTAGGAATGCCCTTCTTGGCCTTCCGATCACGCCCCTTTCTCTTGGGACGCACCTCATCCGCCTCCTCGCTTTCCGGCTCCAGATCTTGGTCCTCACTCTCCTCCTCCTCCTCCTCCTCCTCCTCCTCCTCGTCCCCATATTCGCTGCCAGATGAACTACCAGATTCCCCGTCGCTGGATCCCTCCTCGGAACCGGACGACGATCTGGGTGAAGCGTACCGTTTCCGTCCCTGGCGAGCCTTCCTCATTTTTCTGTCGTGACCCGCCCGTGTCAACCACCTTGCGCCGCTTGTACGTGACTTCAGCCCCTCGTCCCTTACGCCCCCATCACTGTCGCCCCTTAGTGCTTACAGCCCCTCGTCCCTTACGCTCCCTATCACTGTCGCCCTTAGTGCTTACAGCCCCTCGTCCCTTACGCTCCCCATCACTGTCGCCCTTAGTGCTTACAGCCCCTCGTCCCTTACGCTCCCCATCACTGTCGCCCTTAGCGCCTACAGCCCCTCGTCCCTTACGCTCCCCATCACTGTCGCCCTTAGCGCCTACAGCCCCTCGTCCCTTGCGCTCCCCATCACTGTCGCCCTTATCGCCTACAGCCCCTCGTCCCTTACGCTCCCCATCACTGTCGCCCTTAGCGCCTACAGCCCCTCGTCCCTTACGCTCCCCATCACTGTCGCCCTTAGCGCCTACAGCCCCTCGTCCCTTGCGCTCCCCATCACTGTCGCCCTTAGCGCCTACAGCCCCTCGTCCCTTGCGCTCCCCATCACTGTCGCCCTTAGCGCCTACAGCCCCTCGTCCCTTACCCTCCCCGTCCTTTGGCAGGCCCAGAATGTAGCACGTCGTCGCCACCGGCCAATGCCACCTTATCCTGACGATGGAAAGAACTGCCCCTCTCCACCGCACTCCTCCCCTTCCTGCGCTTTGCTCTCGGACGGCAGTGACCCTTCTCTTCTGACCCGGCTGTGAAAAGCATAAAAAGAGAAAAATGAGTAGTCACATGTGACGTAAGCGGGATACGCGGTAACAACCTATAGGCATCCCAGAAATTACGCAAGGAGCCATATAATTGCTGGTGGGATCCGGTGAACACGTACCTTTCTGGCCTATTTTGGGGTTGCATTCTTCCAACTTCTTGATACGCCGTTCCTCCGTTTCGGGGGCGATGAAATAGCCTTGTTTGCGTATGACTCCACATCGCCGTCACGGCTGGAGTCGTTTTCAGATGAAGAATCGCCCCCTGATTTGCTGTCGTTGCAAGCTTTGGACGGATGTCTCCCACGATACTCGTTGACGACTTGGGCCGTTTTCTCTGGTGTGACTACCTCCATATATCTCTTCTCATCTGGCGATTTGGTAGAACTAGGCAACTCAACAACCCCTACTTGCGCATTAAGGGTTTGAGCTTGAACTGTTGGATCTAGGTTCACACCCATGACGGGCGTGTTACGGAAGTTAGGAATTAGATAGTGACTTGACTCACCAGCGGATACTAGCATTAAATGTCAGTTGGTTGCTGAGGTCCGAGTACCAGACACGGTGGTGGAGCAGGTGTACGTGATCCAACCACCACGTACGAGCAGCACCAGGCTGATGAGGGTTTGAACATGCGGTTTAGAGAAGCACGATGGTCCTTCGACATCCACCGCCTCTCCAGAGCACAGGTACATGGGCTGTTACTGTAGATGGGAAGAAGCTAGACGGTCACGGTCACAGGTAATGACGCTTTGGCCAGGTTTCCAGAAACTGCACTCGTGTTCGCGCCACTGACTGTATGGTCCGTTGGATACCTACGGCGCGCTGCTGATTGTTTTGCCGCTAAGTGCGAAAGGGACGGCCTATGATAAATAAACCAGCGGCAACGAGTGAGAGTTTGAACTGCCCGACTCCCTCGTGTTGCTGAATTACAGGCAACGCGACAGGTGCCGCACGTATATTATCACAATAGTCACGTACCATGCCCGATGAGCAGCTGCGACTACTCAGCGAACTACACGAGAGAGGGAAGGTGGGCTCGTGGTCGCACAACGTCGTGCAGCCACGTACAACAGGTTGACACAGCGTGATTGTGCAAGGGAACACCTGAAATCGCGGCGACGTGAGTCGCCGCACAGCGATTGCGACACGGTCGCAACGGCTCAGTGGTGTGATGAGCGCAGGTGTCGTAGGCGTGGGGTGTGAGGCGCATCCGAATTTCCAGCGCGTATAAACGCCTAGTCTCGCTATGCTACAGTATTGGCATGTACTACCCTGTTCGAAATTGGGTGTATAATCGTCATGGAAATCCGCTCAATTGGTTCATAGAGTCCAGTCCTGCCTTTATATTCCATGGGGACACACTGGTTTTTTAACTGTAAGGAAATTCCCTTTTCCTTACTTCGCGTCCCTGCTCAACGCGTACATCACTGTAGCACCTCAGTCAGCACCGTTACCACTCGCGACCATCGCATCATTCATCATCCCGCCCTTTTCGCACATCGCATCCCGACCTCACGGCTCGGCTGGTAACCCGCGCTCCGGGCCTACGCTTCGACACTTTCCCAACCTCAGTCCCAGGCTCGTCGCGCGACAACCACAGTCCAGTACCGTTACCACTATTGTTTCGCTATATAATCCTTCGCTCATGCCTTCGCTCATTGTACTCTTGCTTCGATAGTGCAATTCTTGTTCGTTCACTCAATTGCACACGTAACATTAACAAATAACCAACACAAATAAGTAGGATGCACACAGTGATGTCGTTAATCGATTAAAATCTCTGCTCTATGCACCGTAGCTTAAATTTGAACAGCCAAGCAATCCTGTCAAATTCACCGTTACAGTTTACTATGGGTTGTGATTATCTTCATGTATAGACGTGTGATTTTCATTACTGAAGAATAGCATGAAGACACGTGGTAACATGCAGCTGAGACAGTTGTTGATCTCCCTGGCAAAACAGCACATGCAAGCCAGTTGCCTTTTGCAAAGCTAGTCACTGGGACAAGGTCAATGTACTATGGCTGAGTGCAATGACCAAGTCCACTTTCCATTATGTGCACCTCTCCGTAATCTGCACCTCTACAACCTCTGCAACTCTTTGTTCACTACCTCACCCAGTCCACTGCACCTCTCCATTCGCTAAACCTCTCCCTTCCCTGCACCTCTCCGTTCCCTGCACCTCTCCGTTCTCTGCCCCTCTCCTCCGTCCTCTGCACCTCTCCGTCCGCTGCACCTCTCCGTTCTTTGCACCTCTCCATTCTCTGCACCTCTCCGTTCTCTGCACCTCTCCGTTCTCTGCACCTCTCCGTCCTCTACACCTCTCGTTTCTCTGCACCTCTCCGTTCTCAGCACCTCTCCGTCCTCTACACCTCCTTGTTCTCTATCCAGTTGGTCCACAAGACCACATTCGCCGGACATTATTCATCTGCCATATCTCCTGCCCGTTTATCCATACTTTATCGACAAGTTCATCCCACTGACAGGCTGCCTAAGAAACCAAGGTGTATACAAGGAGGAGGTAGCGAGGCTTAACAAGAGAGTTGACTGCTGGGTCATCATCAATAACAAGGTGCGCCTCTCATACCGACATCACGTGCCGCAAGTGCCACACATGCCTCACATGCCTCACGTGCCTCACACGCCTCACATGAATACATGCCACCACGATACCTCACCCGATGCCACACATGCCACTCATGCCTCACGTGCCTCACATGCCTCACGTGCCTCAGATTTATCACGTGCCTCACATGCCACACGTGCCTCACGGGAGTCACCTGAGCTCCGCCTCCCATGCCTCGTATGCCTCACATGCATCACATGTCAGCACAATGCCCCACATGCCACTCATGCCTCACGTGCCTCGCATGCCTCACGTGCCTCACATGTCCCGTCGTGCATCATGTTCCTCACATGAGCTCTGCCTCTCATGCCTCGTATACCTCGTATGCCTCACATGCCGGCTCGATGCATCACATGCCTCAAACACCTCACACGCCATTCATGCCCCACGTGCTTCACATGCCTCCTCTTCCTCCTCCTCCACCTCTTCCTCCTACTCCTCCTCCACCTACTCCACTACATCCGCCTGCACCTTCTCATCCTCCTCATCCACCTCCTCCTCCTGGTTTCGAGGTTGGTTCAACGCATTTTCGAGGAAGAAGACAGACCACTTCTTCAGGTCGCGAAGGTACTGACGGCGCCACTTACTCGGTGTACCAACAAGCTTACACGCACCCAGGTTATGGAACTTGTTTTCAACAAGTGTGTGCATCACGCGCATCGTGAACACACCGCAGTCATTCTCATTAGTCTGCGACGGAATCTGTCAACACACATTCGCACATGCACGTGGCTGTCAAAAGGTGGGTCGTTGATTGAGAGCTGGCATTTAAGACAACGGGATCAGAGGTCACCTTGACGACGCGCAGAGGGATGCTCGCAGCCCAAGCATCTGCGTCCGAATCAAGGATCCAAGTTGAGACCCTCATAACCTCGTTTCTTAAGTACCTGAATGACGGAGCACAAATGGAAGATTAGAGATCGGGCTTCTACGATAGAATGCACACCCATGACGTCCTCTGACAGTACCTTCGCAAAGGCGCGTCCACGGATTCGTGGGATCCGTACGAATCCGCATGCCAGAGAACGCAGGTCATGGGTATGTTCTCATCTGGTTTGGGGATTATCTCAATGACGACCAAGCTCCAATGATACCTACAACAAGCGATGAGCGAGTATCTGTCAGAAATAGTCGTTGATCAAAATTATGACTGGAATTCAAGCGATTGACACCCACTCGCTGTTGATCGGGACGAGAATATAGTTGTAGTCGAATATCCCCAGCCCAAAAAGATGGGCGTTACCCCGCTTCGCAATGTCCCTTCCAGCGTAGTTCCAGAAGTAGGATCCACTGTACAGCCACATCTTGTTGTCGCGACTGTGCTCATATTGAAGCATCCTGTGGTTGTTGAAACATAACGCATTATAAGCGTCTTAGACCTACAAAGTAGTCCTACTTTGGCTTCTCACGAAATTAAACTCATAACTCACACTCCCAGCCAGTCGATGACGATTCCGGTCACCCATTCTCCGGGTTTAAGCTTATTAGCGTGTTCCTCACTGACGTCTAGCCACGCTCCGCCAAATGGGAAAGGCATTGAAATCGGGTGAAAGGGAAAATCACAAGCTGCATCTCGTGAAGCCATGGAATGGAATCACCTACGAGCTGGCGGTACTGGAGATTCAGATCGTCATGCAACGGAGTGTGTTCTGGCTGCTGGTGCTATCCCTGGAACTGTGTGAGCTCTCTGGTGTATGGGGGGTTGAAGAGGCATCGCCCAATGATGTGGTTCCGCAACACAGTTTCGACACCCACGTTTCGGTGCTGCCTTTGGGTCCGTCAGATTCCAAATGACGTGGACTGACATGAACGCGGATGGTTGCTAACGCTTGATTGCCTCCCTTCACTAGTGACTGATTCTGATTCTCGCTGGTCTGGAATGCCCAGTCAGCTGTGGTCCAAGAATTGTGCGCTCCAATGTTTCCGGAATTAGCTCGAGAAACACGTAGATCCAGCACGATGAGACTCTTTTCAACGGTCGGATTTTTGAGACGAAATGCAGTTTGGTCGATTAGGGTTCATCACCCTGCCTGGGCTTGAGCAACACATGACGTAATCATACGTGATTGGTTGGAATTTTAGGGTTGTCAGAATCACTTCCGGGTTTGGTGTTTCGCCACCCACCACGTCAACCCTGCACACTCGACATCCAGTATGCTGTAGTGTCCAGATATTTTTAGGTGTCTAGGGAGTTGCGGAACACTATTAACCCCACGGTGACTGTCTTCGCACACCACACGGTTACCTTCGTGATCCGCTAAACATCAAATTTTCATACCGTGGAGCTGCTCATTCGCCTTTGCAATGCGGGGTGGAGTAGGTTCTCACGCTAAGTAACATATTTCTTGTGAACCCTTTTCATTTCCAGAGCCAGCCCGGGTATGTTTGTTGGGACAGATTCCCTCCATCCATGACATGCTGCTGGACGTAGATTTCAATGTTGACACCATCTCGACAGTAA